CCATAACAATTTATTTACACCCCATACAAAAATGTGTCTATATAAACATGTGTTTACTCTCCATAAATGTTGGTTTATTGCTAAAGTTACTCAAGAACAAAAATTGTTATTTGTCATAATTCTATTCTTTTTGTTTTCGAGACTTAATTAGTCTCGAAGGGGGGAAATATGTAGTGTCTGAAGGTCTATTGATTTTGCTGATGTTTGCAAATGGTGTAATAGATGAACTTTACTCTGCTTTGCTGAAGCATTTGGAAAAGCATTGCTACATAGGTTTCTTGGAATAGAGGACATTTGGAGATATGTGAAAGCCGGGGATTGGTTTATTAAAATCACGCCATATTACGTTACATTGGATATAAATACTGTGTCTTAAACAAAGGACTGGGAGAGAGACAACATATTGGATCAACAGATTGGCCGTTTCTCTCCAGATATAACTGCAGATATCTGTAAATTAATACTGTGAACTTTGATACAATAAATCTTTATAATCAAAGAACAGTGTAAGCGGACTTCTTATCATCACAGCATAATTAGCAACGCTGTCTTGGACACCACACAATTGACAGGTGTGCCTTGTTAAAAGTTAATTTGTGGAATTTCTTTCCTTCTTACTGCATTTGAGACAATCAGTTGTGTTGTGACAAGGTAGGGGTGGTATACAGAAGATAGCCATATTTGGTTAAGAGACCAAGTCCATATAATGGCAAGAACAGCTCAAATAAGCAAAGAGAAACGACAGTCCGTCATTACTTTAAGACATGACATTTCAAGAACTTTGAAAGTTTCTTCAAGTGCATTCGCAAATACCATCACGCGTGATGATGGAACTGGCTCTCATGAGGACCGCCACAGGAAAGGAAGACCCAGAGTTACCTCTGCTGCAGAGGATAAGTTCATTAGAGTTAACTGCACCTCAGATTGCAGCCCAAATAAATGTAACAGACACATCTCAACATCAGACTGCGTGAATCAGGCCTTCATGGTCGAATTGCTGCAAAGAAAGCACTACTAAAGGACACCAAAAAGAAGAAGAGACTTGCTTGGGCCAAGAAACATGAGCAATGGACATTAGACCGGTGGAAATTTGCCCTTTTGTCTGATGAGTCCAAATTTGAGATTTTGGGTTCCAAACGTTGTGTCATTGTGAGACGCAGAGTAGGTGAACGGATGATCTCTGCATGTGTAGTTCCCACGTGAAGCATGGAGGAGGTGTTATTGTGTGGGGGTGCTTTGCTGGTGAAACTGTCAGTAATTTATTTAGAATTCAAGGCACACTTAACCATCATGGCTACCACAGCATTCTGCAGCGATACGCCGTCCCATCTGGTTTGCGCTTAGTGCGACTATCATTTGTTTTTCAACAGGACAATGACCCATCACATCTCCAGGCTGTGTAAGGGATATTTGACCAATAAGGAGAGTGATGGAGTGCTGCATCAGATGACCTAGCCTCCACAATCACCCGACTTCAATCCAGTTGAGATGGTTTGGGATGAGTTGGACCGCAGAGTGAAGGAAAAGCAGCCAACAATTGCTCAGCATATGTGAGAACTCCTTCAAGACTGTTGGAAAAGCATTCCAGGTGAAGCTGGTTGAGAGAATGCCAAGAGTGTGCAAAGCTGTCATCAAGGCAAAGGGTGGCTGCTTTGAAGAATCTCAAATATAAAATATATTTTGATTTGTTTAACACTTTATTTCTTTACTACATGATTCCATATGTGTTATGTCATAGTTTTGATGTCTTCACTATTATTCTACAATGTAGAAAATAGTAAAAATAAAGAAAAACCCTGGAATGAGTAGGTGTGTCCAAACTTTTGACTGTACAATCCACAGAGCAGGCCAGGTGTCAGATTTATGTTTGTTTTTATGTGTCAGCATTATTCTGTAGACCCCAAAGACAGTAAATATCCCAGATCTGAGGGTGTATCTTTACATTCTTTACTCCTGCGGTCTGGTAATGGTCTGGACCCACTCCGACCGCCTGGTGTGACTGTGGCTCCAGACGTGATGTGGGACTGAGGGATAGGAGTTTATCACTCTTTTGCCCCCAGCTTGTCCCCCTTATTCAGAGGAAGTATGGATGTGAAACCACCCGCTGTTCCCTGGCCTAAATCACACATAAACACACAAGCACATACACACACAAACACACACACAGACACACACACTTTCCATGCTTTGAGGGGATGGACATCCGGCACAGCAATCTGCTTATTTTGGTCCAGGAGTGGAACCCACTTTCTACTGAATGTTCTGGTTGGCTTTATTTTACAAAACATTGTGATGGACTCAAGGGGTATGGAGAGGCATATTTTCCTAAGGCAGGGTTATTTACCATCTCTTCTGTGATTGTTTTTACAGATGGAGGTAATTACTGTATGTCCCAGCTATGCCCATGCAGTTAGGACAAGCTCCGTTGACATCCGCTCTCTCTACATCTTGTCACACACACAGACACACAGACACACACACACACACACACACACACACACACACACACACACACACACACACACACACAGACACACACAGACACAGACAAAGACACATACACACAAAATGAAAACCCATGCTGGAAAGTAATCTATAGAAGCTTGTATCCATGAAGCAAAACCTTTAGAGACTGAAAGTGCTATGCTAGGTACTTTTCCCTGTATATACTATTCCCAATGCTTTGAGTCCCAATGTAAGGAATCAATGTCCTCCTGTTTCGGTGAAAAACTACAGTGCTATGAAAAAGTATTTGCCCCCTTTCTAATTTTCTCTACTTTTGCATATTTGTGATACTGAATGTTATCAGATCTTCAACCAAAACCTAATATTAGATAAAGGAAACATAAGTGAACAAATAACACAACAATTACATATTTATTTCATTTATTTCATCAACAAAGATATGCAACACCCAATTCCCCTGTGTGAAAAAGTAATTGCCCCCTTACACTCAATAACTGGTTGTGCCACCTTTAGCGGCAATGACTCCAACCAAATTGTTGATCAGTCTCTCACGTCGCTGTGGAGGAATTTTGGCCCACTCTTCCATGCAGAACTGCTTTAACTCAGTGACGTGTGGGTTTTCAAGCATGAACTGCTCGTTTCAAGTCCTGCCACAACATTGTGGTCCTCTGTAGCTCAATTGGTAGAGCTTGGCGCTTTTAACGCCAGGGTAGTGGGTTCGATCCCCGGGACCACCCATACGTAAAAATGTATGCACACACGACTGTAAGTCGCTTTGGATAAGCGTCTGCTAAACGGCATATTATTATATTATCTCAATTGGGATTAGGTCTGGACTTTGACTAGGCCATTCCAAAACTTCCAATTTGTTGCTTTTTTAGCTATTTTCATGTAGACTTGATTGTGTGTTTTGGATCATTGTCTTGCTGCATGACCCAGCTGCGCTTCAGCTTCAGCTCACAGACGGATGGTCTGACATTCTCCTGTAGAATTCTCTGATACAGAGCAGAATTCATGGTTCCTTCTATTAAGGCAAGTCGTCCAGGTCCTGAGGCAGCAAAGCATCCCCAAACCGTCACACCACCACCACCATGCTTGACCTTTGGAATGATGTTCTTACTGTGGAATGCAGAGTTTGGTTTTTGCCTGGCATTGCTGCATTACCCGTACACAAAAATGTATGCACACATGACTGTAAGTCGCTTTGGATAAAAGCGTCTGCTAAATGGCATATTATTATATTATTTATTACTGGAACCAATTACTTTTTCACACTGGGGAATTGGGTGTTGCATAACTTTGTTTATGAAATAAATGAAATAAATATGTAATTGTTGTGTTATTTGTTCACTTATGTTCCCTTTATCTAATATTAGGTTTTGGTTGAAGATCTGATAACATTCAGTATCACAAATATGCAAAAGTAGAGAAAATTAGAAAGGGGGCAAATACTTTTTCATAGCACTGTAGGTTCTTTGGTCTCTCAAGATTACTGCTCCGAGGGATCCTATACTCTCAGTCTCAGTCATCTGTAGCAAGTCCTCTGGCCTGCAGGCTAGCAGGTAGAAATACCTGACTCCGACCACAACCTCAGTCTCTGGGGAGGTCACCTTCATCTCAGCCAACAGTCTGGAGAGGACAGAGAGAGATGTTAGATGTAATGTTAAATGATACCTTTACATTTTTACTAAATATACATTTTTTAACACGTTAACATTAACAGCACAACCAGCATCAAAAAGGCCTAGGGAGGTTATGGTGTGAGGGACCAACCTGTGGGTGATGTCTGTGGACAGTCTCCTGGGCTCCTCTGGGTCTTTCTTTAGCAGAGCCTGGTAGCTGGAGAAGGACTCTATCATGCCCATGTAGCTGGAAAGAGGCATTGGCCTCTTCACCCCAACCTGGTCTCAGAGTATTTCGTATTATTCTGTACGTAAAACCCAACAGCTTCATTTAGTATGATATGTTACGTTTGTATGGTATGTATTAATTTGTGGACGTCCTTCACCCATTTTGTATGATATGTTACGAATTACAATTCTTATTATATCTTACGAATTTACAAAACGTACAATATATTACAAATTTGCAAGATGTATGATATGTTATGAATTCTAGCTAGGTGGCTAGGTTGCTAATGTTAGCTAGCTAGCTAACGTTAGCTAGGCTAGGGGTTATGATTAAGTTTAGGAGTTAGGTTAAAGTGTTAGGTTTAGGGAAGGGTTAGCTAAAAGGGTTAAGGTTAGGGGAAGGGTTAGCTTACTATGTTATGTCTAGTCTATGAGACCTGGCTATTCATCCACACACACTCCTGCCTAGACACAACCATTCAACACAGAATCAGCAATGAGTTAGTCTCGCAATGCAATCCTTCCAATTGTTGTTTATCACTCTACTGGAGGAAGCCTGGAAATCGAGGCTAGCATTGAATTGTGAATCAATTCAACACTTAGTGTACATGGGAATACAGTAGCAACAGGGGCAGATGTAACAGTGGATGCAATGGTCCTCAGGCCTCACCACTCTTTCTCTGTTTAGCGGATGGAGTCATAGGACTGTTTGTAGAGAGCCACAGAGTTGGGGCCCAGGCAGAGGTTACTATAGGGCAGGAGGGCAGCATAAAAATGATGAGATAAAAAAAGACAAATGCTGTTGAAAAAACACACAACAAATCTACTGTATGCATCAAAGATGTGCATTGTATTTGGTTTTTTGTTTGCATGTTTTCTACAGTGATTAGAATGGTACCTTTCCACTGTTTATGGATAATATACTTTTATTATATTCTCTAGAGTTGTCCAGACCTCCTTGCAGAATGTGTTGAGTTTGTGGTAGCAGTCTCCATATATAATTGAGCGGATAGAGACAGCCTTTAGGCTGCAGGATCCTATGGGCTTCCAGGAGGAACTGCAGCTGGTCAAACCAGTGGAAGGCAGTCATGGCTGTCTATAGACAGAGTCAAGAGAGACACAATGATCAGCAGCCGGATGCTGTCTATACAGAGACGAGAGAGACAAAAATCAGGGCTGCATAATACAGGCTATACTGAAGTTATTTGCTAGCCTAGTCTCAGATCTGTAAAGATATTTGCTAGCTTGGTACCAGATCTGTTTCTGCTCTATTGCCAACTCCTATAGTCATTGCCACAATAGAACTTGGCAAAACAGCACAAACTGATCGGGAACCAGGCTAGAATTCGCACAGAACTTTGTGATTTGGTTTGGTTCCTGAGACAGTTCAGATGGCACTGTTCCAGAATAGTATTAGTAGTTGTAGCTTTTATGTTTGCTCACTAGAGGGAAATGTGCATGAGTTTGAGCAGACAAGGGTCCCATTGTTTGACTTGGCCCTTGTCCTAATTTCACTGTGTCCCCATCAACAAAGGACTTTAACCATACAGTCCCCTCTCCCATCACACTGTGGTTCTGTTATTTCAGGCAAGACTGTTCTGAGTGAGACGATCTTTGTAAATCCATGTCTATTCACCCTGAATAAAACTATTTTGTACCTACAAATCTAGTAAATCTACTTATTTACATTTACGTCATTTAGCAGACGCTCTTATCCAGAGCGACTTACAGGAGCAATTAGGGTGCCTTGCTCAAGGGCACATCGACAGATTTTTCACCTAGTCGGCTCGGGGATTAGAACCAGCGACCTTTCGGTTACTGGCACAACAGTCTTACCCACTAAGCTACCTGCTTATAAAACACTAATTCTATGACTGTAATGTAAAGAGAGTTTGAGTCCACATTAGTGTCACTCAAAACAAAACATGACTCTCCAGTCCAGTCCACCCTCCTCCTCCTTTCCTCTGGGGTTGGCTCTGAGGTGTTAGGGGCGGTGGCATGCTCCAGGGCCACCTCCAGCTGGGCAGGGCTCACGTCGGTCCCCACCATCGAGGAGAAGTGAGGGGCCAGGAGCATGGTGCCTTGACCCGACCCACAGCCTACATCTACTGCCAGGTCAAAGGGCTGCACGCCCCTCTGTCAAACAGGACACATCACCATCACACACATGTATGAGACATCGTTAGTACATGTGCAAATTTTTTAAGGCAGGAGAATGTCAATAGACCATCTTTATCTGCTGCAAAAACATGAAAAAGCCGGAACGAAGCATGCATTGTTATAATTCTGTAATGTATTGCAATAATATTTGTCATTGTAACTATTTTACGTCCACAGAAGACTGTAACCATATAATCTGAGCATGCATAATCCATTATATTTAATTTAGGAAAAACAACAGTCTGTATAATGTGTAACAGGTGTATGTCACGCCTACCTTTTTCTTCAGGAAGGACATGACCTCTTCAATGAGCTGAGACGAGGGAGAGACTCTGTATTTCCAGTAGGAGGTAGCATGCTCCTTACCTTCAAACGGACGATTGGCCATGCCACTGGGTTATACTACAGGAAAAAACAACAGGAATACAAAGGTATTCTCCAACTCAGAAAGAGACCTGCTTTTCATAAGGTTTTTACAAAAACTCATGCAAGCTCTCTTTCTCACTGGGGTGTGGAGGCTACGTTAAGGAATGTGATCAAACACACCACACTCATCGCAGGGCCAGTTCCAGGGAAACCACAAGGCGCTTGGCCAGGCTAGTATGAGACAGGCCCCAGATAGAGAGAGGAAGGGGCAGTGCAGCGGCTTCGTGGGAATGTGGGTTGTTTGCTAATGAGGCTGTTTAAGAAGGGGGCCAGGGTTACATGGGGTCACAGAGAGCTGTGTGGTGTGTCATAACCAATAAAAAGTCCCATGGAGATACAATGGGGGAGGGATCAGAACCTTGTTTTCCTATGAGGTGCTTTCCTGTTGTGATTGATGTGGGAAAAGACAAAAGCCTGATGAGTTCAGTCTTCTTACTCAGATAAAAACCCTATTCCAACGGATCACTGAGCCATAGATCAACAACAACAATAGGTTTTGTACTGAGCTGCACTACCACTAGCTCACGTAAAGAGTTAATCATAAACAGTCAATATCTGAAGGACTGGTCCAAGAACCGACCAAAGGTTTTTTCTCAGTTGGCATAATGTGATGAATTGCATACATGCATACAGCATATTAACAAGAAAGCAACAGAAAATCTGGGGCAGTATGGCTGCGTTTAGACAGGCAGCCCAATTCTTTTTTCCCCCCACTAATTGGTCGTTTTACCAATCACATCAGATCTTTTCATATCAGATATTTTTCAGACCTGATCTGATTGATCAAAAGACCAATTAGTGAAAAAAATATCAGAATTGGGCTGCCTGTCTAAACGCAGCCGAGACATTTGAAACCCCACCTCTTTAAGGAATACCTGGGATAGGATGAAGTAATCCTTCTACCCCACCCCAAAAAAAATATATAAAAAAAAAAACACAAAAAAAAAAAAAAAAAAAAATACTATTAAATGAATAAAAATTAATAAAAAAAAAAATAATAATATTCTTGTAAAGTGGTTAACCCTCTGGCTATAGGGTGTATGCACCAATTTGTAAGTCGCTCTGGATAAGAGCGTCTGCTAAATGACTTAAATGTAAATGTAAATGTAAGTATCAAGTGTCTCAGACTAGGAGTGCTGATCTTGGATCAGATACCCCCTGTCCATGTTATCTTTTTCATTGTGATCTAAAAGGCAAACTGATCCTAAATCTGCACTCCTAATACTACTCTGAGACGCTAGATACGGCCCTGATGTTGTAAGGTTCTGTATATATTTTCTTAGTCAACCTTGTGTTCTTGAACGTAGCCCTGTTTCTTTGTGTTCTTGAACGTAGCCCTGTCTTTCATTTTTGTTCATTGATTTCACCTGTGTTAGTTACTCACCTGGTTTTATCAGCTCCTTATTTAGTTCACGTCATTCTGTTTGTGCCTTGTGAGGTATTGTTTGTTTTGACTCTACAAAGCCTTTTCCTAGCTCGTTTGTGAGAACCAGTTAAAGCCTTCAGTCCTAGTTTTTGAGTCTCCTGCCTGTTTGCCTACCTATGTATGACCTGTGACCACGATTACTGCCTTCTGCGACGGCGAAGTAAACACCTGCCGCGCTCTGCGCGTGAATCTATACCTTTTTCTCCCTGAGTATTCATTACAGAATATCTCACCTAAAAAACGGAATGGATTCAGTGGAGCTACAGCGGCGCCTATCCCAGAAAGAGGAACGTATGGAGGAAATCTGCCATCTTCTCCGCCAGCCTATCCCTACTCCTCCGATGCCAGGTATCGTAACCCATTCATTCATATCTATGCCTGGAAAATATGACTGTTCACCTGGAAAATGTAAGGGATTTCTGATGCAAATACATTGAACACAACCCCACTAACTTCGCCACCGACAAGAGCAGGGTGGATTTTGTGTCTCTACTCACAGGCAAAGCCCTGGATTGGGCCACCGCCATATGGACTGCCAACAGCACAGAACTCGGATCCGAGACCCATTTCCACACCCTCTTCAAAGAGGTATTCGATCACTCTCCTTCCGGTCGTCCTATAGGAGACCTCCTCATAACTTCAACAAGGACGCAATTCAGCTGCCAAGTATGCCCTCCAGTTCCACAGCATGGCTGCAGGGAGTGGATGGAGTGAGGCTGCTTTACTTACCGTCTACCGAAGAGGGCTCAACAGGGAACTTCAGGCGGCGCTGGCCTGTAGAGGTGACCTTTAGGATTTAAATCAATACATTCGTATTTCCATCTCCATCGACAACCTCATCGCCAACCGTCAAAGAACTCTGCCACCTTCTCTTTCCATGATCCTGTCCGAGTCTTCCAGAGCCCATGCAGTTGGGCCATGCTCCTCTACCATGTATCGAACGTCAAAGGCGGATCCAAGAAGGGCTCTGCCTATACTGTGGAGGGAAAGATGATCTACTCAGCCATTGCCCTGTTCGCCCCCCACGGAGAGATAAGGGTCCCTCCGCTGCCATGCAGGTAGGCGTGTCCTTATTTCTTAATATCTCCCAGAAGCAATTCTCCATCCCAGTATTGATAACCGTAAAGGGGGTTACTAAGTACGTAGAGGGCTTGATAGATTCGAGAGCAGCAGGTAATTTTAGCGATCACCAGCTAGTACAAGAGCTTGACATTGATCTAACACCTGTCAGCCCTCCCTTAAAGATTAACGCCCTGGACGGGCAGCCATTGGACACGGGCTTCATTACGCACCTGACAGAGCGTCACCCTCCAGATTGGAGTCTTCCACACCGAAACCATTCAACTCATGGAACTCTCATCCCCCAAACAGCCACTAATTCACGGACACCCCTGGCTTTGTCGTCACGACCCTGCCATCTCGTGGCAACAAGGTGAACTACTGTCCTGGTCTTCTACCTGCTTCACCAGTTCTCTCAGCCTACCCTGCAGAGCCACCACCATTGAGGACTCTTCCTCTGCAGTGCCACCCATCATACCATCTGAATACGCCCAGTACAGCAATGTCTTCAGCAAAATCAAGGCCTCCACTCTGCCACCACATCGCCCAGGGGACTGTGCTATTGACTCACTCCCTTGAGTGTCCCCACCGAAGGGCTGTGTTTACCCCCTATCTATCCCGGAAAATGAGGCAATGGAGAACTACATTGATTAAGCACACAAACGGTTTCATTCATCCTTCTTCTTCGTTGGGAAAAAAGGACAGTGGTCTCCGTCCATGTATTGTTTACCGTTCCCTGAATGACGTCACAGTCAAGAACCGTTTCCCTCTTCCTCTCCTTCCCAGAGACCCTTGAACAAGTGGGCCGCGCCAGCATCTATACAAAACTCGACCTACGAAGTGCATATACCCTTGTCCGTATACGTGAGGGTGACGAATGGAAGACTTCCTTTATCACTGCACGAGGGCACTACGAATACCTGGTCATGCCCTACGGCGTTACTAACACCCTCGCCGGCTTCCAATCCTTTATGAATGAAGTTTTCCAGGATATGATCAACCGCTTTCTCATCGTCTACATTGATGACATCCTGATTTACTCCCAGTCCCTGAAGGAACACCTACAGCATGTACAAAAGGTTCTTCAATGGCTTCTTGACCATAACCTTTATGTGAAGACTGAAAAGAGCACCTTCCGTGTAACCTCAGTAAACTTCCTCGGTTTCGTACTGACACCTGGAAGGGTCAGCATGGATGAGAACAAAGTCACTGGCCCAAACCCACCACTGTTAAGGAACGTTTCATTGGGTTCTCCAACTTCTATCGCCGGTTCATTCGGAACTTCAGTTCTACTGCCGTCTCCTCACTGCCCTTACCAGCCAAAAGACCCGGACCCTTCAATGGACTGATACCGCCCTGACTGCTTTCAACAACTTGAAACGCCTCTTCACCTCAGCTCCTGTTCTTCGCCAACCTTATCCGACTCTTCCTTTCACCCTGGAGGTGGATGCCTCCGAAGTAGGAGTAGGAGCCATACTCTCTCAGTGGGTGGGAACCCCTCCAAAATCACATCCCTGTGCCTTCTTCTCCAGGAAGTTATCCGACGCTGAAAGGAATTACAATGTGGGGAACAGAGAACTCCTCACCATCAAGCTGGCCCTCGAGGAGTGGCGACACTGGTTGGAGGGCACACAACATCCCTTTCTCGTCCTAACAGATCATTGTAATCTGGAATATATCAGAGGGGCCAAGAGGTTGAACTCCAGACAAGCCCGCTGGGCTCTCTTCACAATCTTCCATTTTCATGTTACTTACATCCCTGGAAAGAGAAACGTAAAAGCTGATGCTCTCTTCCGCCAGTTTGACCTTACGACCAGTAACTCAGACCCTACAACCATTCTTCCTTCCTCTTGCATTATGGGACCGGTACAGTGGGAGGTTCACTCTGTCATACAAGAAGCCCTAACCTCAGACCTGGCTCCTCCTGAGACACCAGCTGGGAAGAGTTATGTACCAGCAGCTGTTAGACCCCAACTGATGCAATGGTGTCACAAGTCCTTGGTCAGGACATCCGGGCATTACATGAACCACCGAACTGCTAGCCCGTAAGTTCTGGTGGTCCTCACTGGCATCCGACGTAAAGGATTACGTACTCTCCTGTCCAGTCTGCGCCCAAACCAAATGCCCTTGTTATCTCCCTTCCGGTAAGCTTCAACCTTTGCCAATCCCTCACAGACCCTGGTCCCACATTGATGAAGTCAACAGCTCAGACCTTCCTGAATCCTCTAACACCACCATCCTTGTCATTGTAGACCGTTTTCCAAAAATGTGTCGTCTGGTTCCTCTTCCTCATTTACCTAAGCCATGGAATTGGCTGAGTGAATGTTCCAGCAGGTGTTCTGTCTGAATGGGATTCCGGAGGACATCGTCTCTGACCCGAGGGTCCTAGTTTGTCTCCCGGATGTGGCGAGCTTTCTGTGACCGACTGGGGGTTGCCCTCAGCCTCTCCTCCGGGTATCATCCCCAGACCAACGGGCAGACGGAACACCTGAACCAAGAAATAGGGAAGTACCTCCGCCAATAATGTTCTGCCTCTCCACACGACTGGAGTCTGTATATGGCCTGGGCCGAAAACGCTCAGAACTCACTCATGTATTCATCCCTCCGCCTTACTCCGTTTCCGTGTGTCCTTGGTTACCAACCCCCCATGTTTCCCTGGGAGGCGGAGACTGGTACTGTCCCAGCTGTCGACGACTGGTTTTGGCACAGTGAGCGGGTATGGGAGAACGCTCACCGCCATCTGCAGGAAGCCTCTAATACCCAGAAACGCTTTGTCGACAGACACCGCCGACCTACGCCACTCTTTCACCCTGGACAGCGTGTGTGGCTCTCAACCAGACACATCTGGCTCCACCTCTCCTGCAAAAAGTTCTGTCCTCGCTTCATTGGTCCCTTCAAGATAACCCATCGCATAAACCCTGTCATGTACCGCCTCCAGTTACCCCGTCAGTATAAAATCTCCTCGTCCTTCCATGTGTCTCTGTTAAAACCGGTCACCTACAGTCCTCTCCAACCTGCAGTGCGCCCCCACCGTTGGACGTTGGAGGGGAACCTGCCCACGACATTCAGGCTATCCTTGATTCCAAACGACTGAGAGGTCGCATCCACTATCTAGTGGACTGGGAAGATTATGGGCCTGAAGACCGGTCCTGGGTTCCCAACCAGGACATCCTCGACCCAGAGATGATTCAGGCATTCCACCGTAACAGTCCGGATCATCCCGCTCCCTGACCTCGGGGTCGTCCCCCGAACAGACTCACTGGACGTCAGCCTCAACACAGAACGTCGGGTCAGTCCACGACCTTGTCGAACCAGCCTGCGGGACCTCGCCCCCGAGGTAGACGGCCGCCTCTGCTCCCCCGCTCCACCCTCCGGTGCCGTTGGGTCCTCAGGAGCCTCCCTTGGGGGGGGGGGGGGGGGGGGGGGGGGGGTGTATTTATTTTCTTAGTCAACCTTGTGTTCTTGAACGTAGCCCTGTCTTTCATTTTTGTCAGGTCATTCTGTTTGTGCCTTGTGAGGTATTGTTCATTTTGACTCTACTAAGCCTGAGTGTTCATTACAGATGTTTAATAATATTCAAAAGTTACAATTGTGACTGCGTACATATTTTATTGTAAATCTCAGGCAAGGACGAAACTAAATGTGGCAACCATTTTGGTAATGATGTGACAAAGGCGAATAGTTTGCTCTACATTATAATGTATAAAAGAACAGACAAAACCAAGGGGACATCAATGACATCTTATGTGAACAGAATAATATTTATATTAACAACAGCTTGAACATGATTCACACATCTGTCTCCACATAAACACATTCACAGTGTAGTAGTCCCCTGTAGCTCAGTTGGTAGAGCATGGCGCTTGCAACGCCAGGGTTGTGGGTTCGTTTCACATGGGGGGCCAGTATGAAAATATATGCACTCACTAACTGTAAGTCACTCTGGATAAGAGCGTCTGCTAAAATGACCAAAAAATTTAATATAGTGTTCACTCCGGTTTAGATGCCAGGACACAGAAATACTCCAGTGTCACTTCCATGAGTGTGTCTGGTGATGTGACTCCCATCTCCTTCAGAAACCTGCAACAATATGACATCAATATATTTAATAAAATAATCCCATTTGGGATGGACCATAAAAGTGGCATACATTAAAATAAATAATTATTTTGTTTGTTTGTTCATTTCTTTATAAATTTGTTTGTTCATTAAATCTAGAGTAAAACAGGAGGGGGGGTTGTTAATCTGATTTATGAAATTGTTTTAAGATGGTCATACTATGAATCATTTAGCTATTTGATTTAGAATTTTAGGACACCTTTAGATATAAAATATATATATATATAAAAGTATTTGATACAATTTTTATTTTGGACTTGACTACTAAAACCGATAGAAACGCATTGAATAACACATTCATAAATGGCAAAAAGGACAGTCAAAAAATAAATCGTAAGAAACAAGGTTTTGAAGTGTCTATCCTAAATCTAAGAGATATTTAAAAAACTCAGAAATGGGGCCTCCCGAGTGGCACAGCGGTCTAAGGCACTGCATTGCAGTGTTAGAGGCATCACTACAGACCCGGGTTCAATCCCATGCTGTATCACAACCGGCCGTGTTCGGGAGTCCCATAGTGCTTCCTCACACATTGGTGTGGCTAGCTTCCGGAGTGAAATACAAGAAAAACATGTTTTTTTACCGATACCTATTACCTTCAGACGAGTCCCGTGACACTTGTGGGGGTCGTAGAGCAAAATTTAGAAAACCATTGTGTTCGTGAGATTCTCCCTTATCAATAGTTCTTTAGGTCAAACCTTTCGGACGCTACAGATGTTTACGTGAGAAGACCGATTTTCACCATGGTCTGACAAACACCGCTCTAGCTCTGCCACCTTTCACCGCAGATACGGAAGTGCGACACTGGCGGATGTGGTGAATTGAGACGCGTCCAACGCAAAAAAACAAACACAGGATCTCTATCTTAAATGTAAGGATTTTGATGGGGATTATTTTGTTATGTAATTTAAGATTGACACACCGTTGTCAATCGACTCCACAGGGTTAATTTGTTAATTAGCTAATTTGTTCATTCATGCATTGTCATTCGTCCATTCATCCATTCATTCATTGACCAGGGTTGTTACCTGTCGTGTGTTCTCTGCAGCAGTGCGGTGGCAGCATCAGGCTCGGCCCTCTGGAAGGCCTGGTACATGGAGAAGGACTCTATGAAGCCCACTATGTTCCTCACTGAGATCTGCTGCTTCAGTGGGATACACTCAATCCTGAAAGAAGTGGATACCCACACACTGTTGAATTGAGAGGAGAGTCATAGTGGATGCCCTATGCTCCCAAGAGGGCCAAGAGGTTTGTCAAGTCATAATATTGAATACTCCCACAGTTTGAGTACAACATTAGATTTTGTCCACCCGAGTCACTAGGTGTGAGTACATTACTTCTGTTTATATTTAATTCTCACAGAGTCACAGGGTCAAAGTCACACCATGAGAAATGTTGTGTCCTGCGATGTTGTGCTTTAATGTGTAACTGGCTGTTCTACTGGGTTTGCACAGAGGCTATATGAGTTACCTCTCTTTGTCAGGGAAGGGGATGGCGGCGTAAAGATCCTGTAGTTTGGTGTTGGCCACTGCTACCTGTGTGCTGGTGTATGGTAACAGCACCTTCTTGAACTGGGGATAGCAAAGTCAAATCTCAATCAGTCAGGAAACGTGGTGCTTATATTGTTGATTCATACAGGTGATCCCATGGAAATTAATCTATTTTTCACAAGAGATGTCTCAATATGGCAGCAAACAAACATTTTATAAGCATACTGTATATGAAAACAACAACTGTACTTAGTACCCACTGAAAATAAACATATGACACACTGAGCTTATTTAATACTGTTTTTCACCTCATCATAGATGTCAGTGAGTCTGTCTCCACATGAGCCGTAATGGAGTCTGATGTTATCAGCAAAGCCCAGCAGAGCCAAGCAGCCGCAAGGCTTCAGGACCCGGCCTGCCTCCAAGAGGAACCTTTGCTGGTCAAACCAGTGGGCCGCTGAGGCTGCAGTCAGCAGGTCCACAGAACCATCCGGAAACGGCAGCTCCTCTGCAGTCCCTTTCCTGTAAGTATTAAGACACAGCCACAAACACTGAGGATTTGCACATAAACTAACATATTAACTAGGGGCCTATTGCAAGTGGGAAGGTACTGCTGACCTTATTGCTGAGTGTAATTGACCGTCTCTGCAGATTGCCATCACTGTTTCTTTTTAAACATACACATACACACGTTGGTTTTACTATCCAAGTGGGGAGCAAAACATTTATTCCCATTCAAAATCTTATTTTCCCTAAACCTAACCTTTAACCCTAACCCCTAACTAAACCTAACCCTAACTCCTAACCCCTAACCAAACCCTAAAATAGCAGTTTTCCTGATAGGGACCGGCGAAATGTCCCCACTTGTCAAATATTTATTATTTTACTATCCTTGTGAGGACTTTTGGACCTCAAAAGGATAGTAAAGTTAGACCACATACACACATACACACGTTCAAACACCTGTAGGTGATGTTGTTGAAACCTGCCACTGCCCTGGCCTCCTCCAGTTGGCACTCGCTGATGTCGATGCCCACCACCTCCTGGAAGTGTGGGGCTAGCAGGCGTGAGTTCTGCCCCGTCCCACAGCCCAGGTCCACAGCTAGGACATGGGGCTGGCCTTTCTGAAGAGAGGGGACCAGTGAGACACTATATGTGATAGATAGTGTAAATGTGATGTTCAATACAGATAATAAATATATATATATATATATATATATATATATATATATATATATATATATATATATTCAACTCTGGTCTTTGCTCTATACAGTATAGGTATGACACATTGCATGCTGAATTTCAAGCTTACGGTATTAACGTAAGATAATGGATGATAGTTCAGTGACCTATTGTCACAAGTCTCAAAAGCATTTAGAAACAGGAAATTGTTGCGATATACTGTATAAATATCTGATTTAAGATGTCGTAATCCTGAAATATTATGCAATAGAGGACATATTTTACTTCCATTTCTATCTCGGACACTGTGTGGAAGCATTACACCAAAGACTTATCATCTTAGACAATGTACGATTTTATCTTAGCTGCTACGTGTACAAGTCTAACCTCATGTAAAAGACACAGTCTATAACAGTAATACTACCTTTGCTTGGCTCACCTTCCTTTCCAGGTAATGCAGGATGATGTCTCTGATCTCCTCTGGAGGTACAAAGCGGTACCTCTGGTAGATGGAAGCATGGTGTTTCTCCTCAAACAGACGGTAGGTCATGGTGCTCTGCTCTGCTGTCGTCTGCTCTGCTAGTCTAGAGCTCCCTCCAGCTTGTAGTGACTCAGCAGACACACAGACACGGATACAGAGACTGATCTGCTCCTTCACTAGGACCTGTTAATCATTACAATTGTAATGTCAATCAAATATAACAAAATCACCTTAAACAATGCGATGCACTGTGTGTTTCTCTCTCAGCTGAAAATTCCACGCAAGCAACTTTGCCAGGTCCCTCTCACAGGATTTCGAAAGTGTGCCCAGAATGTCCAAACAGACATATGCATGCTGGGGTCTCAATTTTAACCCTTGACTGTCCAGAATATTGATCTTATTTTAACCCTTGCTGATCCAGAGCATGTATAACATTGGAGATGTTTACATTTAAATTGACAGTAATTATGTGATGATAAGCTTGTTCTAGTCCAATGTTTATAAACAAAGTAAATTTAAACATTTTACATTTTTACATTTACGTCATTTAGCAGACGCTCTTATCCAGAGCGACTTACAAATAGGTGCATTCACCTTATAGCCAGTGGGATAACCACTTTACAATTATTATTTTTTTTGGGGGGGGGATGGAGTAAAGGGTGGGGGGGGTTTAGAAGGATTACTTTATCCTATCCCAGGTATTCCTTAAAGAGGTGGGGTTTCAAATGTCTCCGGAAGGTGGTGAGTGACTCCGCTGTCCTGGCGTCGTGAGGGAGCTTGTTCCACCATTGGGGTGCCAGAGCAGCGAACAGTTTTGACTGGGCTGAGCGGGAACCATGCTTCCGCAGAGGTAGGGGAGCCAGCAGGCCAGAGGTGGATGAACGCAGTGCCCTCGTTTGGGTGTAGGGACTGATCAGAGCCTGAAGGTACGGAGGTGCCGTTCCCCTCACAGCTCCATAGGCAAGCACCATGGTCTTGTAGCAGATGCGAGCTTCAACTGGAAGCCAGTGGAGTGTGCGGAGGAGCGGGGTGACGTGAGAGAACTTGGGAAGGTTGAACACCAGATGGGCTGCGGCATTCTGGATGAGTTGTAGGAGTTTAATGGCACAGGCAGGGAGCCCAGCCAACAGCGAGTTGCAGTAATCCAGACGGGAGATGACAAGTGCCTGGATTAGGACCTGTGCCGCTTCCTGTGTAAGGCAGGGTCGTACTCTCCGAATGTTGTAGAGCATGAACCTACAGGATCGGGTCACCGCCTTGATGTTAGCGGAGAACGACAGGGTGTTGTCCAGGGTCACGCCAAGGCTCTTCGCACTCTGGGAGGAGGACACAACGGAGTTGTCAACCGTGATGGCGAGATCATGGAACGGGCAGTCCTTCCCCGGGAGGAAGAGCAGCTCCGTCTTGCCGAGGTTCAGCTTGAGGTGGTGATCCGTCATCCATACTGATATGTCTGCCAGACATGCAGAGATGCGATTCGCCACCTGGTTATCAGAAGGGGGAAAGGAGAAGATTAGTTGTGTGTCGTCAGCGTAGCAATGATAGGAGAGGCCATGTGAGGATATGACAGAGCCAAGTGACTTGGTGTATAGCGAGAATAGGAGAGGGCCTAGAACTGAGCCCTGGGGGACACCAGTGGTGAGAGCACGTGGTGCGGAGACAGCTTCTCGCCACGCCACTTGGTAGGAGCGACCGGTCAGGTAGGACGCAATCCAAGAGTGAGCCGCGCCGGAGATGCCCAGCTCGGAGAGGGTGGAGAGGAGGATCTGATGGTTCACAGTATCAAAGGCAGCAGACAGGTCTGGAAGGACAAGAGCAGAGGAGAGAGAGTTAGCTTTAGCAGTGCGGAGAGCCTCTGTGACACAGTGAAGAGCAGTCTCAGTTGAATGACCAGTCTTGAAACCTGACTGGTTTGGATCAAGAAGGTCATTCTGAGAGAGATAGCAAGAGAGTTGGCTAAAGACGGCATGCTCAATAGTTTTGGAGAGAAAAGAAAGAAGGGATACTGGTCTGTAGTTGTTGACATCGGAGGGATCGAGTGTTGGTTTTTTGAGAAGGGGTGCAACTCTCGCTCTCTTGAAGATGGAAGGGACATAGCCAGCGGTCAAGGATGAGTTGATCAGCGAGGTGAAGTAAGGGAGAAGGTCACCGGAGATGGTCTGGAGAAGAGAGGAGGGGATAGGGTCAAGCGGGCAGGTTGTTGGGTGGCCTGCCGTCACAAGTCGCAAGATTTTATCTGGAGAGAGAGGGGAGAAAGAAGTCAAAGCATAGGGTAGGGCAGTGTGAGCAGGACCAGCAGTGTCATTTGACTTAACAAACGAGGATCGGATGTCGTCAACCTTCTTTTCAAAATGGTTGACGAAGTCATCCACAGAGAGGGAGGAGGGGGGGGGGGGGGGGGGCGGGGTGATTCAGCAGGGAGGAGAATGTGGCAAAGAGCTTCCTAGGGTTAGAGGCGGATGCTTGGAATTTAGAGTGGTAGAAAGTGGCCTTAGCAGCAGAAACAGATGAAGAAAATGTAGAGAGGAGGGATTGAAAAGATGCCAGGTCTGCAGGGAGTCTAGTTTTCTTCCATTTCCGCTCAGCTGCCCGGAGCTCTGTTCTGTGAGCTCGCAATGAGTCATCAAGCCACGGAGCTGGAGGGGAGGACCGAGCCGGCCGGGAGGATAGGGGACATAGAGAGTCAAAGGATGCAGAAAGGGAGGAGAGGAGGGTTGAGGAGGCAGAATCAGGAGATTGGAGGGAGAAGGATTGAGCAGAGGGAAGAGATGATAGGATGGAAGAGGAGAGAGTAGCGGGAGAGAGAGAGCGAAGGTTGCGACGGCGCATTGCCATCTGTGTAGGGGCAGAGTGAGTAGTGTTGGAGGAGAGGGAGAGAGAAAAGGATACAAAGTAGTGGTCGGAGACTTGGAGGGGAGTTGCAGTGAGATTAGTAGAACAACAGCATCTAGTAAAGATGAGGTCAAGCGTATTGCCTGCCTTGTGAGTAGGGGGGGACGGTGAGAGGGTGAGGTCAAAAGAGGAGAGGAGTGGAAAGAAGGAGGCAGAGAGAAATGAGTCAAATGTAGACGTAGGGAGGTTGAAATCCCCCAGAACTGTGAGGGGTGAGCCATCCTCAGGAAAGGAACTTATCAAGGCGTCAAGCTCATTGATGAACTCTCCAAGGGAACCTGGAGGGCGATAGATGACAAGGATATTAAGCTTAAATGGGCTAGTGACTGTGACAGCATGGAATTCAAATGAGGAGATAGACAGATGGGTCAAGGGGAAAATTGAGAATGTCCACTTGGGAGAGATGAGGATTCCTGTGCCACCACCCCGCTGACCAGATGCTCTCGGGGTATGCGAGAACACATGGTCAGACGAGGAGAGAGCAGCAGGAGTAGCAGTGTTTTCAGTGGTAATCCATGTTTCCGTCAGCGCCAAGAGAGGCAGCAGCCACGCGGTGTGAGGTGTTTGTGTAGCCTGTGCGGAGAGGAGAGAACAGGGATAGGCAGAGGCATAGTTGACAGGCTGCAGCAGATGGCTACAATAATGCAGAGGAGATCGGAATAAAATGAACTAAACATCTGGGAAAGGAGAGAGCGGGGCCTCCCTCACCACAACTCCCAAATATAACTCTCCCAACTTCCACCTCAGAAACTATAATTGTTGTAAACTACAGCGGTTCAACTACAGCGGTTAAACAAACACTATATAATTGTTGTAAACTACAGCCGTTCAACTACAGCGGTTAAACAAACACTATTGTCACACCCTGGTTCTGGGACTCTATATGTTGAGCCAGGGTGTGTTCATTCTATGTGTTCTGTTTCTATGTTGGGAGTTCTAGTTTGTTTATTTCTATGTTGGCCTGAGTGACTCCCAATCAGAGGCAACGAGTGTCAGCTGTGGCTGGTTGTCTCTGATTGGGAGCCATATTTAAACTGTCTGTTTTTCCCTTTGTGTTTGTGGGTTCTTGTTCCGTGTTGGTCTATGTTACCTAGGACGTTACGAGTCGTTTGTTGTTTTGTTCATTGTCAGTATTTATCCCTATAGATAAATAAACATGTTCGTTCATCACGCTGCGCCTTGGTCTATTCCGTACGACGGTCGTGACAGAAGAACCCACCATACAAGGACCAAGCAGCGTGTCCAGGAGCAGGCAGACTGGACATGGGAGGAAGCGCCGGGAAAAAGAGATGGAGAGGTTGGCGATGGCCCAGGTGGGCAAAGTGTGGTCCTGGGAGGACATGCTCGGGGGAAAAGGGCCATGGGCTAGGATTAAGGCCCTGGCGAGAGAGGAGCAGCGGCGTCAGCAGTGTCATCGTCGGACGGACGAGAGGCAACCCCCAAAATTTTTTAGGGGGGGGCACACGGCATGGGCGGCTGGGCAGCAGGAGGCTGCCACAGGGCGATTTGGAGAGGAGGCCACCGGGTTTGGGGGGCCAGAAGGCAGGTTGGCGGAGCCTGGATGGAGAGCGGAACCAACTTCCCGTACTCAGGCATGGCAGCATGGGACGGGGCAGGTTCCGCGGTATGCGGAGCGGCGTACTGTGCCACGAGTGGTCCGGCATAGTCCTGTACGTCCTGTGCGAGCACCCCGCACGTGTCGTGCGAAGGTGGGTATGCAGCCAGGACGGAGTGTGCCGGCTCAATGCTCGTGGTCTCCAATGCCTCTCCGCGGTCCCGGATATCCTGCTCCAGTGTCACGTGCTGTTATGCCAGTACGGGTACACAGCCCTGTACGTCCTGTGCGGATGCCTCACACAGAGTGTGTGAAGGTAGGCATTCAGCCAGGACGGGTTGTGGCCGCTCTTCACTCCAGGTCTCCTATCCGTCTCCACAGCCCGGCCCGGCCTGTTCCTGCCCCTCGCACCAAGCCTACGGTGCGCGTCGCCAGCCCAGCCCGGCCTGTTCCTGCCCCTCGCACCAAGCCTACGGTGCGCGTCGCCAGCCCGGCCCGGCCTGTTCCTGCCACTCGCACCAAGCCTACGGTGCGCGTCGCCAGCCCGACCCGGCCTGTTCCTGCCCCTCGCACCAAGCCTACGGTGCGCGTCGCCAGCCCGGCCCGGCCTGTTCCTGCCACTCGCACCAAGCCTACGGTGGGCGTCGCCAGCCCGGCCCGGCCTGTTCCTGCCCCTCGCACCAAGCCTACGGTGCGCGTCGCCAGCCCGGCCCGGCCTGTTCCTGCCACTCGCACCAAGCCTACGGTGTGTGTCGCCAGCCCGGCCCGGCCTGTTCATGCCACTCGCACCAAGCCTACGGTGTGCGTCGCCAGCCCGGCCCGGCCTGTTCATGCCACTCGCACCAAGCCTACGGTGTGCGTCGCCAGCCCGGCCCGGCCTGTTCCTGCCACTCGCACCAAGCCAGGGGTGCGAGTCGTCAGCCTGGTCCA